GTAACCTTGAAACAAAACTGGCCAAAAAATTACATAATTGGCCTAAAATCTCCAAAATGCCTTTGAAAAATGCCAAAGTAGCCCTTAAATTAAATGGTAATACAGGCCTAAAATTGCAAAAAAAAAATCAATGGCCTGAAATCCTGAAATTATCTGAAACCCCAAAAATAACCTTTAGATCATTAAAATAACCTTCAAAACTCCAAACTAATCTGAAAAACGCCAAATTGGCTTAAAATATCTACAATGGCTTTAAAATACGTCAAAGTAGCCTGAACACCCTTAAATAGCTTCAATTCTTTAAAACAATTTGACGTCCCAAAAATAACCATAAGAACACAAAAATTGACCTAAGATATGCCAATCGACCCATAGAAGGTCGATTTATAAATTCATTTTTTTCACTATTCTAACTGGAACTGCTCAAAGGTTATGTAGAGGGGAGGGAATCTGTAACTCTACAGAGAACCAATAGATGACGCTTGGGTTTTGCAATCATCCTCAAAGTGCAAAAACTGACGGTCACAAACTTTACAATAGGCAATACCAGCCCTGGCCGCGTCCGAATGCAGGTCAATTCCACGAGAAATTACTGGGATGTTGGATATATCATGTAAAGGAGCCTGGTACTGAACCCACGGTCTTCTTCTCAGTAAGCAAAATCGGTCACCATAAGGCCACCGAGCCTCTCACATTATAATATACCGCTTATGATCGAGTTGTGGTTGCTATGGGCTCATGTTAAGAGAGGACGATCAAAGACTATATAATGTGAAGGAGCCTGGAACTGGATCCACGATCTTCGAAGACCCTTAATTCATAGTTCATGACCAAGAGATAAAATTAGTCAACTGAATTTTAACTTGGGCCAAATCAAGGCATAACAAAAATCATAAGATTGCTTTTGAATTTGTTCTTCCCACAATAGAATGAGCCGCTTTATCAGTCTCCAATAGGAAACGATAGCTGCTCAAACTCAAATCAACGAATATTCCAAGTCAGGTTTCAATAATCAACATATACAAATAACTGTCAGATGTAAAAATGTGTTAACCATCCTTTGGAGACCACCATTTATTCGCTTTACACCCATCCGACTCGCCGCCCTGTACCAACGCGCCCCGAATGATGCGACACAGCACTCAGTCTGACAATTTAGGAATTTCCTTGCCACACATGTGCGCTCCAGACGACCCCGGACTTGCATTATTTCAAACTTATTTCCCACACGGATGATTGCTCACTCTGTCTCTTCCACGAAGTCGCTGGCTTGTTTCGATTCCAAGCTTCTATTTTCGTCCATCCGACGAGAAGGAAAAATAATCAATTCTTGGCAAATCCAGTCTACATCATTCCAGAGGGGACAGCGTTGTGCTGCGGTTGGTTGTGCTTTTTGTGTCAAATTACTGGAAATCCCAAAATCACCTGGATCTCAGAATCGTATAAAAATAGTAGCTGGCCGTCGCCATGAATAATTCAGCGGTTGTAATTTTCCGGGCAGCATTTTTTGCACTTCCCGATTTGTATCAGGATAAATTATGTAACCGGAATCCCGCATGGTCGGCTCTCCGGGAGATTGTTTTGTGGATCGAATTATAAATCTATCAGAATGCAAACTTCCGTCGAATCAGGGGAAAATTGTTTATTTACCCGGAATTCCAGTAATGCGCAACCGGGAATGAATAAAATAGTAACTTTATCGGTGATGCAATTGATTATCCCGCATATTCCGGCAACAGCGAGCACTGATTAGCACATGGCAGGTGCACTGGAAATGGAATTGATGGTTTTGCGATAAAGCCGTGCTTTGTCGATAATCAATTGAGTGGAAAATGTGGAACTAGAGTAGGGTACAATTTGAATCAAATATCAAGTTATAATTTGGTGGTCAACCGCTCCCAGTTGCTGTACCGAAATGTGAGCTAAAATCAAACGAAATCGGCAGTCACTTAGTCCGACTCCCAAAATGCAAACCTTCTTGAAGTTCAACGCCCATCACCTGCCAAGGAAGCCGAAGTCAACCCTTCCCCCATACCATAGCAACCGTGTTTGAACGCGTCTGCTGGGGGGACGGCCACTGCTCCCAGGAGAAAAATAAGAAGTTAAATTCCACCCCGAAGCACCTTGCGCTCGCTTACTGGCCGCAGAACAATCGATGCGTGATTCGAATTTGATTGCCGGTTTCGAACAACACTTTGTGTCTGGCCGCCAACCGCAACCAACCCAATCCATCGTGCACGATTAGCTTTTGGTGGTTGCAAAGGATGCACTGGATGCTCTTTTCGTTTTTTTTTTTTTACTTTCGGTTCTTTGTGCAAGAACGAGTTGTGAATCTCAATTTTTCGGGTTCGAGTAATATATCGGGTGCCAATACCCGTTTGCTGGAAATCGACTCTCCTTGCTCGGGGATAGAACACACACACTACTGATCCGCCGAATCCCAGTTTTAAAGTAGAACAATCTTCAAAGATGAAATGAGTTTTCAACCCACCCGCATCCCCCCTTCTCTGTCCCTTTTTTCAACTCTTTTCCCATTCTCTTGTGGATCGCAATCATAATTCCCATTGCCCTCCCACCCCCCTTCGTCCTACAGATTTTCCAGAGAAGTTATTATCAAATTTTACTTTAATTAAAATCATTATCTCGAACTCACGCGCGCGTGGTCCGGCTCATTCTGCCGCCGGTTATTCTCTGGCTGTATGCTGAGAGAACTTGCCAACTTCTTGGGAACAAATCGCTTCGCTTCGTCTCAAATAGACTGGATTCGTTTTCGTTTTGCTTCTTTTTTTTTTGAAATTTAAACTGCTGTAACAATTGGGTTCTTTGTTGTCGACTAAACTTCAAAGAAATTCGTCGTTGGTGTAACTAGGGGATTTATCTGTGGGGATGCGAACCAATTTTAAAATTGCTTTGAAATGGCTTCTTGTCGGATTTTAAGGACCTGTCCCTCCCTTAGCTCATTAGGTAAACGACGCAGTTATGAAGCAAGACCATGCTGGGTTCGATTCCCGGTTCTGTCTAGGAATTTTGCAAAAAATCCCGACTTCCCTGGGCATAGAGTATGATTGAATTTTGCCACACAATAAAACAAATGTAAACATGTTATAGGTACTAAGCTCGCAATTAACAACTATGGAAGTGCTCACAACTAAATTTCGAATGCTAAACTCCATCATTGATATGTCATCAGAAATTCGAGAACTTAAGTGGAATTCGGTCGGCCACACACCAGGACATTGGTATGACATCGCAGCAGAGGTAGACTTAGGCCGATGACATAGTAACGCGGAGCGTCGAGCAACGCGTGTTGTTCGCGTTTGCTGAATTTCAATAAAGCGTCAAGTGATGCGTGCTATGACATACTCAACGCGTTTTTGAAAGCGCAGCTCGCATTATTGTCAGTCAAAATCACTGGTCTTCACACTAATTCTAAACCACCCAATTTTCAATAGGATCTACCCAAATTCAAGAAACTAGGGCTACTCAAAATTGAGTGCTAAAAGTTGGTACTAGCAAGATGACATATGAACAACATCGGTCAGATTAAGGTCGATATTGTCCATTTGCTAATCCATTTGTCATCATGTCAGTCCAAACTTTTATCACTCAATCCTGAGTAGCCCCATTTCTAACGGAATTTGAGTAGATCCTGCTAAGATTTGGGTAGTTTATAATTATAGTGTTGTGTGCAGTCAAAATGGATTCTTCCGACGAAGAGTTTTTTGCTTCTTCAAGCACAATACATTTGTTGATGAAAAAGGAGAGAGATTTTGCGATTCACCCAATCAACAGAAATAGAACCAGAGATGGAGAGTTTAACCGACTCTACCCCGATCTTCGTAAACACCCGGAGAAATTCCGTTCTTACACTCGGGTGGACATGTCAACTTTTGACCTGATGATGGATATGATCAAATGTAAACTGATGAAAAACTGGACAAATTTTAATAAAGAACCAATCTTGCCTTGCGAACGGTTCATTGTTACACTGAGGTAAGGAAGTGTTTTCAATAAATAGAAAATAACATAATTTATAAATACATAACTTATTTTTTGTAGGTATCTAGCAACCGGATCATCATTCACCACGCTAGGATTTTCTTTTCGAATGGGTCGATCAACTGTTGCTGCAATAGTGCGTGAAACATGTCAAGTTTTATGGGAAGTGTTTCAGCCCATTTACATGCCAATACCCACAGAACAAATGTTACGGATGGTAGCTGAAGAGTACTGGAAAAAATGGAACTTCCCAAATTGCATAGGTTCCATTGATGGGAAGCATATCCGCATAAAGTGCCCTCCGGGATCTGGATCGCTGTTTTACAACTACAAGGGTTTTTTTTCAACTGTGCTACAAGCAGTCGCAGATGCAAACAGCAGATTTTTGATGATCGAAACCGGAGGATATGGAAAGCAGAGCGATGGAGGAACGTTTAACGCATCCGACATGTATCAATTGTTGCATGAAGGAAAGCTAAACGTTCCACCAGATGCTCCATTACCTGATCCAGATTTACGTTCTAAAATGCCGCACGTGTTCATAGGAGATGAAGCGTACCCTCTGATGAGAAACTTGCTCCGTCCGTATCCAAGATCGCAACTGTGTCCGGAATATGAATATTTTAACGCAAGATTTTCTAGGGCAAGGAAATGCGTTGAATGCGCATTCGGCATCATGACCGCTAAATGGAGAATTTTATGCAAGCCAATTGAAACAATGCCGGAATTTTCTGATGACATTGTGAAAGCAGTTTGCATCCTGCACAATATCATAATTGATCATGAAGGAGTTGAAGCGCAGTTGGAGGAAGCTGCCGTATTTACAAACATGGCCAACAACAATAACGTAACCAACATCAACAGGGTTTCCACGAAAACAGGCAGTGCCGTACGAAACTACTTCATGGAATTTGTGAACAAAAACAAAATCTGAATAACTGAAATTTGTTTTATTTGAATACAGGCATTAAATGTAATTAACAGGTAAATGAAAATAAAACTCACTGTTGTGATAGTGCACTGGAAATTGGCGAAGTGATTACCGTGTAGTACTGTCTTGCAGATGAAATGACTGTGGGGAATTGATCTGCAGCATCAATCTGTTCGTCCGGGTTCAGAATAGTAACAATTCCAGCTTGGCTCTGAAAATGCGGAGAGCTATGATATCCAGAACCATCATGTGAGCGGGGAGTTCTTCCAATCGTTTCGGTAAATTCCATTCGACTTCGCACTGGAGTAGAATACTGGAACAGCATGGGATTTTCTGAAGTTGCAGCTCCATGTACATCGAGGTTCTGGTTCGGATCGTTCAGGAAACGGTTTTTCTGGTACACATGTTCCTGTACGACTTTCTGTATATCCATCCGAAACAATAACTTCGCCTCTGGCTTCAACTTCCGAACATGGGGTAGCAAACTTTTAAAAAATGCCTCGTCTTCGTCATCATCAGTGTTGGCTTTGCGTACTTTTTTTTCTAAAAGCTTCAACTTGCGTGTTTCGATGTCGACCAATTGGTGTTGCAGACCTCTTTTACCAGGTCTGGGTTGTGGACGTGGGATCGTTTCATCAACATCAGATGAATCCGGGACTTCAAGCAACTGAATTGATTCGTCAGCAGTGTTCTCTGTTGTCGTTTGCTGCACGTCATTATCGTTCAAAAATTCCATCGTCTCGGAGGCATCAGCTTGCAGATTGCCTCCAGATTTTCGTGGTATCATTTGGCCCTTAAGAAACAGCATGGATTTGAAATGTGGCCAAGCGGTGTACGTCTCGTAGTTATCTGGTCCTGGGTCTCCTGATCTATATGCAGGAACTTTTCTCAACTCTTTCCCGAAATGATCCCGTAGTGACTTCCACTTTTTCTTGCAAGCTTCCGCTGAAGAACAAAAATGAAACATAAGATTTCCGCACCCATATATTGCAATTTGCTTTTAACTTACTTGTAACATCGTTTCCTAATTCGGTTGAAACCTGGCGCCAGAGCTTGTCCACCAACGTCCTGATCCGGTATTGCTTCACCGTTTTATCCCACAGTGGTTTTTTTGCGAAAACTAGCGAAATTAGTGTTTCTGAGTCGATATGCATTTTAATACCAATTAAACAGCAGTCTCTCCGTTCACTTGCGTAAGCACTTTGAGGAATGTTCTAGCGGGTCGGATTTTTTTCTTCATAATCGGTAGCTAATGAAAAGTTCCATCGGTTTATTTATCGTTAAGAGCATCTCCACCGCGGGCTCCAAACGGGGCCTTATCTCTATTTCGGCAACCCAACGACCAAATGGGAGCTAAGTGGGCTCGTAAATGTGTCTACAAAATAGCGAAGAAACCGTGAACACACGACCGGGTAGCAGCGTGTAATCAAATTTGTGGACCAAGTTGCAAACCGAGATGGGTTGCTATTCGGTATGACAGCAAAGCAGGAAAACGCGCAAAAATATTTGTTTCATTTTTGTTGCAAACGAGCCGTTGTTTTCAACACAAGAAATAGATTGAACATGTTTAATTTTAAATGTTAAATAGAACATACTAAATGTTAAATGCTTTATGCGTTATTTTAAATGTGAATTGTAGAATGTTAAATTGTTTTAATTTATAATGCTGAATGTTGATTGTTAAACGTTAAATGTTCAATGCTAAACGCTAAATTTTAAATGTTAAATGCAAATCGTTAAATGTAAACTGCTAAAGGCCCAAGCGCAATGGGAGTCGTATGACGTTTATTCACAACTGCCATCTGTTGAGCTTACTGCCTATCACAGTGTACTCAACAGATGGCGGTAGAGTTTCAGCGACGATGTTTTACTGCGAAAATTATTCTATGTGTTATGTCTGTTTGTCTGAGGTTAAATGTTAAATACTAAAGTTAACATGTTCAATGTTAAATGTTACATGTTGTTTGTCACTTGCTACAATGTAAAATGTTAAATTATATATGTTAAATATTATATATAACATGTAAAATTTAACATGGAACATGGAACATGAAACATGAAACATGTAACATTTAACATTTATCATTAAACATTTAACAACTAACACTAAACGTGCAACATGTAACGTGTAACATTTAGCATTAATCATTTAGCAATTAACATTAAGCATTTTATACATTACATTTTACATTCAGCATTTATTATTAAGCATTTAACATTTAGCATTTTACATTTTCCATCTGAAATTTATTATTGAACATTTAACTTGTATCGTTTAACATTAAAAATTTTACATTTAACGTTTTAACGCAAATTAAATTGCTATAATTTACATTTTATATTTAGAATTTACTATTTAGCATTTAACATATACCATCTTACATTTAATATTGAACATTTAACATTTATAATTCAACATTAAAAATTTAACATTTAACAGTTAGCTTTTAACATTTTACGTTTATAATTTCACATATTAAATGTAACCTGGGTCAATAAACATTTTACATCTCACATGTTACATTTTACGGATAATATGTTAAATTTAAAATTTTATCCTGAGCATTTAGCATTTAACATTCACATTCAGCTTTTTACATCTAAAATAAAACATTCTGATTTAAAATTTACCAATTAACATGTATGTAACATGTAACACATAACATTAAGCATAAATCATTTAGCATTAAACATTGAGCATTTTACATTTTACAATTCACATGTTGCATTTATATTTAGCATTAAATTTAGCATTAAACCTTTATCATTAAATATTTAACATTTAAACTTTAAAGTTTAACATATTACATGTAATATGTAACAATTGACAATTTACATTTAACATGTATCATTTAGAATTGACATTGACATTTAGCATCAGCAATCAACATTTAACATGCACATTGTACACTTTACATTTAGCAATTAACATCTAATTTTTTTTTTACAATTACCATCTAGCATTTGGCATTTAACATTTAACATTAAGCATTTCACGTTTAACAATTAACATTTTGCATTTAAAATTAACCAATTGAAGATTTAACACTTAAAATTTATCATTTTATCAATAAAAATTTAACATTCAACATGAAGCATTACATGTAAAATGTGACAATTACCATTTAACAATTAACATATTACATTTAACATTTTACATTTCAAAATTCTTTATTAACAGTTTGTTTAACATTTAACATGTAACATTTAACAGAACAAAAATGCCGGCTAAATTAAAATGTACTTAATCTATCGATGCTTTTTATGACGCAATTATTCATATTCATTTTATAAAATACGACCGAAATCGCAGTTACCTAGTCGATCACCATTTAATTTCAATGGCACTACAACAGTCTTTTGCGTGCACGCGCGTGAAAACACTTCAAGGAGTGCTTTGACGCTATTGCTGACGCAGCGCAACGCGTTTACTATGACAGGTGTAAGCGTTTTACCAAGCATTTTGCATGGACGCTCATCAAAGCAGCTCAGACGCACACGCACACGCGCACGCGCACGCTTCGCTAAACGCGTTACTATGTCATCGGCCTTAGGGGCTCATGGCGGTGGAGCCTGAAAAAGGAAAACAAGCAAGTCGATAGGAATCTGTCGTGGCCCCAGATCAACCCAAATGCAAGCAACCGTCCAGGATGGAAGTCTTTCACGTTGGTCTTTTGCGCCACTGGAAGGTGCTTAGGGCACAGAAGTAGTTTCCGAGAATTGTGCATCAGTTCCAAGTACTAGTGCAAGTCATCCATCAAGACGGACGACAGTTTCTAAATGTAAATGTCTAACTCACTCCAGTATCTTGAGCACTAGACTGGCCCACATTTTAATAGGGGAATTTTTTTATCATTTTTGTTTCAACGTGCCAACCCCTAGATTTGTGCCATTATGTGAGACAATCACTCTCTGAAAATACTAGCTCATTCTGATGTTGCGCTTTTGATTTAATATTTATATGGGGATTCCTTCATACTTTCGTGTGTGGAACTGGCTCAGCAAACTCGATTAAGCTCAGAAATTTCTTGTAGCGTGAACTATAAGGAACAGCTTTGCTGAAGACAGCATCACGATTCAAGTTAGTATTATGGAGATATTAATTAATTATGTGCATTCTGCTCGTATATTGCAACAAAATACAGGCAGCGTACTCGGAAAAAAATCTGTTCCCGAAAACGGGAACGGACCATGAACTAAAAATCACGGCCAACTATCCAGAACAAAATTTTCTCAAATATACACCGTGAACTATGGTTCACGGCTGTGGTTTACGAATATGGGAACTCTTTTTTTCCCATGTATGCAACGTACAGGGTGGCCAGCAAACCGGTAAATATCAGGGAATTTGAAAAGTAACTGGGAAAACCGTGAAAAACCCGGGAGTTCGGCGAAAAAAGCGGGAAAAATAAATTATCCATACCATAGGAACAAAATGTAACACCAGAATTTCAGAATAAACCATTAAAACAGAGTGATCCTTTACCAAATGCTGCATAATTTTCTTCAGTTTCCCGTCTTATTGTTTTACAATTTAATCACTCAGCAAATTGATTTTTTCGTTTCCATTTCAGATGTAAAGTGCATGGTCCTTAAAATAAAATATTGAAGATGCTGGACTTTGGAAACAAATATTTGTAAAACCCGAAACTGAATTATTCTTTTCCGGGGTTTTAATTTTTCGTTGTTCAAAATTCTCATGATATGAATTTCAGAATTCTGCTCTGAATTAACTTGAAATTGTTCTGAAATAAACCAAAAAAACACTCCGCGTAATAATTACCGTTGAATTCTTTTTGGAATTTCCTTGCAACCCCTTCTAAGAATATAATTGCAATCCTTCTTAGAATTCCTTTGAGCCTATCCGGAGACTTTGATTCATTTGAAAATCTTTTCAAAAATTTCTCTTAACTCTATTCTAAATAGCAGAAATCTTTCGATATTTTATTTAGAAACCCCTTAAAGAATTTCTTTCTAATTATCAACAATTTTTTTGCAATGAATTTTTGTTGGAGTTCTGTGATGTATCTTTCGCACTAGGGTTGAAATTATTGCCAAAACACTCTTAGAACTCTGTTTCTTGTTGAATTCTGATCATAATTCTCTTTTAATTCTTCTTAAACGTCATCTGTGATTTTCCTCACGATCCCCATACAAATCTCCTCAGAATAACGTAGGAATTTTCCGCAAAGTTTTGTTTTTCACAATTCCTTTTTAAATCTTTTAATATTACCTAACAATTGAATTTAGAACATGCATTCTTCTCCAATGAAATCCCTCCAAATTCATCTAACAATTACTAGGGTTTTCATGTCAGAATAATTCTGGAAATCTGCTCAAAACTTTTCCTTCGAAAACTGTGTGGGAATCTTTCTCAATATTAGTTTTAAATGAACACTTTGAATTCTTTTAAAATTTACTAAAAATTCCAGGGTTTGTTCGCTAGATTCTATAGATTGTTCTGTAATTTGTAATACCTTTTAAAGTGCTTCCAAGTATCAGAGCATGACAATTATGACTCCACAACTCATAAGTATGATATATTTTTTTTTCAAATCTGTGATCTTGAAATTTTTCCGAAATCTCACATTTTAATTATTTTTTCTCCAAATTTTGCATCACAAAGATTGTTATTAATCACAACTTTTTAAAAAAGTTCTAGTTTCAGACACTACATAAATTTTAAAGCCCCAGAATCTTGGGAATCTTCTTAAATAAAGTCCTTTCAACACGTTCTTAAAAATGCGTTCAATTTGGTTTTTTTTTATTGAATATTGACAAACGGGAATTTTTAAATATTTGAACCGGGAAAAAACCGGGAATTTCAAAATGAAAATTCACGGGACACCCTGCATGAGCATGATTGACCGCCCACGGTTGCTACTCTGTTATTGCCAGATCAGCTGTAATTACACAGAGAACCAATAGACGATGCTTGGGGATAGCAATCATCCTCAATGTGTAAACACTGGTGATCTAAAACTGGGTAATACCAGACTCCAGAGCCGGCCACGCCCGTACACAGGTCAAGAAAGGAATTTGTAGGATTATGTTGACGTAATACTCGCTTTGATGGAAGCCGAGAACACCTCTGCACTTCCACGAGGAATCACTGGGATGTTGGGTAAGAGGGTTGGGATTGCAGCAGGGTTTG